CTATACTTGGTGACAGTGAGCAAGTTTTCACGCCGATTTTATACCATTACGGAGAATACAGGATATAGTCTACACACATTGTGCCCATGAGGAGAATCGAACCCGCGTCTTCTGCACCACGAGATACAGCTTTAAGTACTTGGCCAGCCAAAATCCCAAAGATTTTACTTTTTTCGAAATATATATATTTTTTCACCAAATGATATAACAGTAACTACCAAAAAATAATTTTCAATACATTTCTTCTGCATATGTGTTGTTGAGTTGAGAATTAAGTAATGCTTGTTTGTGTTATATACAGACAGGGAGTCTCTTTAAAAGTCAATATACAGATTTACAGATACACGCCAGACCAACAAAGCAGACAACCGTTAGACTGAAACTAATTACAACAGACCCAGATCTTCTGTCGGTCTAACGACCCTCACGTCAGTCCTCTGTAACAAAGCTTGTTTATTTACATGCTATTAACAAGCGGAGTCGTCAATCCTGACAGGTAAACCGACATCACTCGCCGTGAAATTGACAAGGTACGTACAGCTTAAGCTAAGAAAACAGTCGTGTATCTGTCAGGCGGAATTTAATGATTAGTTGTTTATCGACATGTTTTGTGCCTGTTAATTAGCTGGTATTGTCTCTCGATTCATGAGTTTGTGTGAGGATAATCACTAAGCACTCCTCAACTTACGAAGATAATAATATCTTTTTTCAGAGTAATGTTTTTGAGATTTTCGGAACCTTGAACAAAGGTCGATACGGATAAGGTCCGTTGGCACAATTTACTGTAATGAACTGGTTGGGTTTTTCGCAACATTGTATTATTTTAAGTTCCAGTATTACTTACTACTAATGGTTTATATCTTACTGAACAAAATATGTTTGGATCATGAATATTTTGGAGACCAATTTGTGAAATACGTGTGTTCAGTTATCACTAAAAACTATTTCCCCAAACATTAATGTTATCTAGTGTTTTTTATTCAGTATGGAGGTAACATACGTTTTCAAATGTTTTTTTATTCAGGGGTTTAAATTATAATACATGTGTTATATTTGTTGTGTTTTTTACCTGTAACTTGTTACTTTAACATCAATTTGACAAATTACTATTTTTACCACAAGCTGTAACTTATTACTTTAACATCAATTTGACAAATTACTATTTTTACCACAAACTGTAACTTATGACTTTAACATCAATTTGACAAATTACTATTTTTACCACAAACTGTCGCTTTCTCTCACTCAATAAATGAACGAGATCGATGCTCATGTTGTCAATCACTGGATTGTCTAGTCCAGATTCGATTTTCTACAGATATGCGTCACATAGCTGGAATATTGATGAGTGCGACGTTAAACAACAAACAATAAATGAGCGAACGGACGACAAGGCGGACGTACGAACGAAGCAAACACAGGGATTGTCTAATTCAACAGCAACTCCACATCCTCACCACCACCCCGCATTAGATCAGCTAAATGTATAGAACAGAGGCAAATTATTTCCTAACACAAACGACACTACACACATAGACAAGGATGTGATATTATCAAACCAAGTTTGGATCGAAAAGGAAATGGGGTGATGTAGCCAAATGTACATAGATGTATACATTGTAACACATGTACGTAGTTGATAACACAGGGGTATACACTTATCGGAGGGACAGTGATGAATGTGAGAACACGGTGTAGTCCACAGATGACGTATTTAGACTACACGCTGGTTAGGGTTGACATTCGTCAACGACACAGACATTCACATGTTGTTAATACACAAGTTTCCAACGTTGACGAAATCGCCGGGTGGGGATATGGTCCTGTACACAACGAATCTACCCTGTAAACGAACTGCGGGACTTTAAACTAGTAGACCACTTGTTAATATTTCGGAAACTAGTCGATGCGGCTTTAAGCAATATTCATTCACTCACTTGTTCCTGTGATTTGAATACTGGTAATTAAACAAAATGTTGAAAATTGCAGGGCGGTGGGGTAGCCTAGCGGTTAAAGCGTTCGCTTATCACGCCAAAGACAACCGGGTGTTCGATTCTCCAAACACACACACACACACACACACACACGCGCGCGCACGCACGCACACACACACACACACACACAGAGTAACATAGTGGGTATAGCAACTGCCTGGACGGCTGTCTGTCCGTGGTTTGATTCCAGTGCCGCGTCTTACCACAAGACATTAAAATGCTGCTTGTTGTTACCCTGCCTTGGAATAAAACAAGGACATGTAGGCTCGAACACAGTGAATGTTTGAGCGCGGTATCCATGTCAAACAGCAAGGTGTATCAGTAGGCTTGCACGATAAACCATCATGCACCATCATGTTGTCTGTGGATTCATTTCAGGAAATCAGTACAAAGAGTGTCCATAAAATTGACATTTCCAGACAGGCAATGCAATGTATATCTAATACAGGAAATGATATTGCCATACAGGTGTATTAATAATGTAAGTTAATCTTAATCCAAAGTATATTAATCCGTTTAACATTACAGCCTATACCTCATTTAGCGCTATACATCAAAACTGAATCACAATATTAAAATAGTAGTGATTCACCGTACCAGATTATTATTTTCCATTTCATATGCCACCCAAACCATCGTAATATGGATCTACCCAGCTCGGGTGGCCTTATACGTCTTGCGCTATAAAGGCTTCCTTCTATGGCGCGTGACCTGGATATCACAGGGCACTGATTCACTCTGTCATAACAGTAACACTTGTTCATTTCACTATTGACAACACTGACATGCGTCAAGATGCCAGCTGCACTGAGTGACAAGGTGCGTGTCAATATTTATGATTCAGATATTTCAAAAATATAATAATTACCATGAAAAGACACAATTGAGAATCATCATAAATTAATACGATTACGGTTACTTTCAATATCCTAATTACGCTGAGTAATGTAATTAGAGGAAGTATTTAGGGTTAGTTTAGAGGAAGTGCCGACGTTAGTCTTTCTCACATACTGAATCATAATTATTTTAAAATATAATAATAAAATGGAGTAAATGAGAAGTAATTAACTCCAACAATGCCAAATTGTTCAACTGAAACCCCTGCTTGTTCACCGATCCCCTATTCAATTTAATTTGAATAAATATATGTTTAAACCAAACACCTGCAGCAGGTTAAATGTACCGTATATGAGTACAGATGTACAACTACAATTGATTTATTGAGTTTAGTTTTACGCCGCACTCAGCAATATTCCAGCTATATGGCGGCGGCCTGTAAATAATCGAGTCTGGACCAGACAATCCAGTGATCAAAATCATTAGAATTGATCTACGCAATTGGGATGCGATGGCACCCCCATGCAAGTCAGTGAGCCTGACCACCCGATCCAATTAGTCGCCTCTTACGGCAAGCATGGGTTGCTAAAGATCAATTCTAGCCCGGATCTTCACGGGTCGTACAAGTGCAATCTGTTCCCGATCTACATATCACCACCCTCAGTAGTACACGTGAAATGAACATGTTGTGTAATGCAGTGTTGTCAATACATTTCACTGTAATCTCCTCCGAATGTGACACATCTGATTATGTTATCACGGAATCTGTTAATTATGTATATGTTAATTACTCCTGTCACTGGCCGCGTGAATAATTAAACACGTTGTTAATTACAATACTAATCATCCAGTGTTATTTAGTCAGATTGAGACGTGTGTGGAAGTGATTACAACTGACACTCAATGCACAAATCATACGCTCTTGAGTTCACTTCCGAACGTATGACAATCTCTACAGCTGATTGGCAATTATCGATTTTAACGACGACAGTTACCTCTCAATCGCGTGCTGAAGTGATATTTTTTTAAGCGCTGTTGATAAACATGCTTTCAGGTATATCCCCAATTTAACAGCTTTGTGTACAAAACGAAGAACTGAACCAACACGTACAGACATTATTTGACTGTGTGCTGTTTTACCTCTCATACATGACACGTAAATATACAGACTTACAGACAAACATCAGACATCTGACTAACAAAACAGACAGCCAAAACACTAACTTCCTAATCACTAACACATTCTTTAATCTGGGACTGGCGCCACTGATTTGTAAATAAAGATAGTTCATATGATTGTCAGGTGTCCTCTCACTTAGTCAGAATCTGTCAAAACAAGTCAATTGTCATCTAGTTTTCTCCTCACTAGTTACAATCATCTTGGAATTCAGCTTGTTATTTGGTTGGTGGGGTTAATTAGATTCCTTCCTATATTTACCATTGTTTCCTGCTATATCCAATCACCTCCAAAATATATGGGGTATTTGTTGAACTTCCTAATTATCTATTGTTAGATGTGTTCTTTTGCTTCTATTGTAATTATTTTGGAACATGAACAGACTGGTAAAATAAAGAAAACACTATAAATTTGATGTAACAAAACAAATTACAAACGATCAAACAATTAATAGGAAACAGTGCACAGCAAAAACAACTAGATGCATCACCATCGAATAACTATTTAAGGTTTTTTTTAAAAACATATTTTAAGTCCCCATCACACGTCAGTAAAGATTCTTCATATCCCATACCACATACTTACTTAAAACTGTTTTGGAGGAATTAATAAATATTTTTTAATAAATAAAATGTTACTCAAATGAAAAAAGTTCCGATTGTATATTCATGCATGTGAACTTTAGTAGTAATTCGGCGCTGTATATATTCGTCACCTACAAAACCGGGGTATGACTGATTCTCAATACTAATTGACACCAATCTTGAAGCACACGCCCTGTCGCCATTTCTAAAAAAAAATGACACCCTCGTTGATTGTCGCAAAAATATACGTCGGGCCCAAACACTGTGAGTAATCCCCTTTGAGATGAAGTGTAACCGACAACAATTCACCGCTGGAGTGCTAAATATAGAAACGGAAATCCCGGATCCTCTCTGTCACGTGACTACGGCGTCATGCGAGGCTTCATCAAAACCGCTACAGGCGATCGAGTGAGTCAGTAGATACAAGCTCGGCTGAAGAGACACGAGGCACAAATATATCGCTGTCTGAGACATTACTTACATCATGGTTGCAAACATCGGCGGAGAAATTAAATGTGTCGTCGTCGGCGATGGAGGAGTCGGGAAAACTAGCATGCTTCTCCGATATATTGATGGACGGTTCCTGGAAGAGTACATACCTACCTGTTTTGACAGTTACGCTGGTGAGTTTTTATCAACATTTGATGTTTTGGCATGTAGATTTTCACTGGTAGGACACAATATAATAAGTGTTTATGATTTTAAAAGTTTATTCACAATTAATATATTCTTCTTAGTTCACAAACTAATGAATCAAATGGTATGAGAGTTATAGCTTTCTAAACACAATTCTGTATGTCGATACATATCCGTGATCTAAGGTAATTTGTTGGATATGACTGTATGATAAAAATAGAACCACATGAAGTTATAATTCTGAAAGTTTAATTTGAAAACACCGACAGACTATCGTCTGATGGTACGTCTCGCCGGTCGTTTAGAAAATAATTAACACGAATTTGTCTCAGACAATAAATCTGTCAACATATCCCTGTCAACGTGAACTGACAAACAAGCGTGGACGTAAACTGACTGTTAATTAGTTCAAATAACAACACACGGTCCTGACTGTTGATTGACAGAGAAGTGTGAAGCAATATTCAAACGATCAATGTATTGTTCTTAGCCTGTTGCTGCACGTTATTTTATGTACTTCGTTGAGTGATTCGGTCTTGAACGGGAGCCACATTAGTTGACTAGACGTAAATATGTTACAGTCTGTGGCTGTAGTCAGGTGTTGATGTAGTCTGAATGCAATACTGTTGATGTATGAATTGTACATGTTACAGTATTGCTGATGTGACGTTAAATTCCTTCCTCCATTCTGTTAGTTTATAAAATAACCAATAACTTCAGGCAGTTTGTGAAATAACTAATAACTTCAGTCAGTTCATAAAATAACTAGTAACTTCAATCAGGTTATAAGATAACTGATAACTTAATTCAGTCAGTGTATAAAATAGCCAATAACTTCAGGCAGTTTGTGAAATAACTAATAACTTCAGTCAGTTTATAAAATAACTAGTAACTTCAATCAGTTTATAAGATAACTGATAACTTAATTCAGTCAGTGTATAAAATAGATAACTGTTTTCTAAAAGTTGTAAGTAATAGGGATGATAAGTCTTTATGGTTGATCCAATTCTTTATTGTACAATCGCGACGTTTCGGTATAGATACTGTTTTCAACCATACGGTTGTCAATGGATACATGAACACATATACAGGCCACATGATGTCTGGCAAAGACAACGGATGATAAACAAGACGATTAACAATGAAAAAATAAGTAGTAACTTCAGTCAGCTGACAGATGCTTATACACATGTCACTACCAAAGAGGTAGTAATAAGCATAACAATTAGAGCGGCATACAGTCCACGAAATAAGGTATGCAGAGGATTAAAACGTTCACAAAGGAACCCTCTCTTATAATTGTCTTGAGCTTAAAGGATAAATATAACGGAGTAGGAGTGGCGATAGTTCTTTTAAATATACTGAGGGAAACAAATAAGGGAACACCACTTCATGGCAGTGTTCCTTTATTTATTCTCAGATTTCATCACCACAGCGCTATTCAAAGCTGGTGATGAAAACTGGAAAATATTAAAGGAACACTTGAATTTTCTTATGTTGCTTTATTTGTTTCTCTCAGTATATATGTCATTGGGTTTGTAACAGAGACTAAACATGTGTGCAGCATATGCACCAAGGAATACATATTTTAGAAAGACAAAATATATGAATGATAAAACCTAACCCTAACACATACAAGGCATTGTATCTCAAGGTTTTCTGAGCCAGCGTTGACCGTTCATAGTCATAATAGGTAAGAAGATTAATATCCCCACACGTCGCAATCCTCTTATTTCTTCTCTGTGGTCTGTAAGACTCTTTTGTCCCCTGCTGTGTAATGCAGAAGACTTGATACATTAGGTGAGCTGTGAGAGGTCGCTGCTGGAAGCTTTCCGGTTGTAGTTACTTTGATAAATAATGGGACAAGAAATAGCAAATGTTCTTGTTAGTTATGACAACACCAAGTTCAACAAGTGTTACAGCTCTATCCCCTCTGGTACTGCTTTTAAAAGGAAACACCTCTCTCTGGTATTGCTTTTAAAAGGAATAACTTCTCTATTGCTTACAGGATCACACAATAAGATGTTTTGTATGGTAATGTGTGCGAAGTAATCCACAAACACTGATATTTTCTGAAACTAAAATCGGAAATTAAAGATTCTCATACAGGATTTTTCAAAAGCCAGCGTACACTTGACACAGAGCTTTTTTTATTAGTTACTATTTACTAGCATCAAATGCATACTTGCGTTATAACCAATCTCACATTGGACATGGTACTGGAAATGTTTAGCATATGATTATACGACATACAGTATCTTGTGTGACGTATGTTGCTGTACCTACACATGTGTACAACAACCTTCATACATATTCAGTATTTTGTATGTCAGGTACACTTTTTATAATATATCCAAGGGTCGTGTGAGTCACCAGTTGACACAAAAGTACACATGCTCTTGGTAAAATCAGGGTTACAGCAAGGTTGTGTTCTAGCTCCGACCCTGTTTATGCTTAGTGCGTAAAATCGATTATGTCATTTCTCACGGTGTTAGTCAAGCACAGTCACCTTCACTACCCCTCCCCTCCTGCAGCCACACAGACACACATCCCACATCAAGACCCAGTGTTAGGTACAGGCAGCGCTCACGTCGACTTCCACACCGGAGCACGTTGCATGACGTAACTGTTCCTCATACGCTTTGTTTTACATTCAGCTTTTCTCCCAGCTTGTCGCGAGACGTGAGAGTCCGCCCAAGGTTCAAGACCACGTAATTGTTTTCATATGTCAAGTGTCTGGGCAGTGACATTGTTTCCCGATTGTCCCTCAGTGGTCAGCGAATGGCCACGCGAGAATAGCTAAAAAGTCGGGGCGTTGCTGAAAAAAAAGAAGTGCTGGCCCTTGACCTCGGGGCGTTGTGTGTGACCTGTCTAGGCGTTGCATGAAGATTCGGAACAGTTACAATCATATCCTTGGAGTAAAATATACCAAACTAATCAAGCAAATATACATATTTTATTGCGAGAATGGATTGCTGAAAAATTAAGTGCATGCACTTGACCTTTGGGCGTTGTGTATGACCTGTTTCGGCGTTACATATGGAGATTCGGAAGAACCAAAAGTTAACATAAATATGAAGGTGATTGTTGTACTTATATAACGACAAGTTGCTGTAGTGATGTTAATCACATAAGTTTCAGCCACTAACCGATGTATTCCTCCCTAATGTATCCGCAAGAAGCATAACCTGATTCAAATACTCTGTTAGCATATTTAATATACACACAATACGTGCACAATTAATCATCCTTAACGCGGTTAAGCTATATTTCCACTCTGAAACAATCAATTAAACACTAAATATACTAGTATATTTCAAATAAAGTTATATTTGATATAGTTTCAAGTACCATAAGCAGCCAATCTATGAAAGAATTCCGTTACGTCCTGAATTTTCAAACCCCTTCTCTGTATCACTGGACAGAATAAAACTGACACCCATGCGTCAATTTCACGGTCCCAGTTTCACCAGCGGATCATTAGCGTGTGTGTGTCAACAGCCTGTCGGGAGTGTGAGGAGGCACTTACCAACCTGTGTTGAATAACCAATACAAAGTCCACATTCTTATTTGACGGATCAAACCAAGTTTCACAATTCTCATGTACATGCGAATAGCCTCGGGAATTCCTTTAATCCGCCATAAAGACATACAATGTACTCGAAAATGGACAAATAACAAGTGACTACCCAGTCTGTTATAAAGCTGCCCTCAGTCTTTGACGCGTGTAATATATATCCTATTAACGACTTTTTATTTTAAAAACCCAGACAAGGTTAATACAAAACTGGCATTCTTAAAGCGGAAACGAAGCGGAGAGACAGACTGAAGTTTCAGAATGTAAACTACGGAGGGCATTAGAATTAGCTTCACAGAACACGGGTTTCTTTGTAAAGCTATTAAAAGACCACAAAAGAAAATATGATTATAAATAATTAATAACCATTTCATGATACCCTGACTATTATGCACCACATGCAGAGAATAAGTTTGTATGTATGTATGTAAGCCTAATTATTGTGTGCTTTGCACGTACAAATCTTCCAAATATGTAATACCTCTAGCACCTGTCTTACTCGTAACCCGGCCATGTATTCAAATTCGAATCGGGTATAAGTTGTCACGTGATTGCGAGGAATTTTGTGTCACGTGGTTTAGGTATGTCCACTCCTAAGAATAAAAAGACACACCGCTTTTTGTCCATAAAAACGAAGATGCAGCCTCGTTTAACGCTAGGGTTCCCCGCTGGCAAGTTTGGGTTTAAATTATTTTAAATTTCTTTATAGCTGTAGCTGGTTGGAGTTAAAGGTTTCACGTGGGTTCAGTTGAGGTCTTGATGTCTGAGGCATACTCTGTATGTGTTTTGAATTATAACTATTATTATTATCATTATTGTCATTATTGGAATCAGTCGTGTAGGTATATCGCGTCCAGGGATGACCATTTTATAAATTATTATTAGAACCAATTTGTTATAGAAAGGTAGTCTGTAGGTAACTAACAGGTGTAGACGAACGATGATGGCGCCTGATGGAAGTAACAGTTTGTTAAATGAGTTCACCTTTATCATGCGACTGAAGCATTTGTGAAAAACAAGATTCACCTCAGGGTCACTTATATACAGTTGTATCTACGATAAATGATGATGGTTATCTAGTACCCAGCGTTTTGACAAACACACCTGTCACGCGCCTCTTACCGGTAATCATTGGTTAGGATGCAACGGAATGTGTAAACAGGTAATCTGTTATCTGTAATTACCAGGTGAAGTACGTACATCATCTGTGCATGACATTGTTACACCCTGAATGGATATATTGAAGTATGCATACACATAGGTGTGTCAGTGATTATGCTATCGGGTTGCAGTATGTATGCAAGGCATGGTATTTGAGAAGTATACGCCAGGCAAGCAGCAGCCTGTTGTGAAATAAAATATTGTCGGTCTTTTGTATTCAGGGGTGGTGGGGTAACCTCGTGGTTAAAGCGTTGGATCGTCACGGTGAAGGCCTGGGTTCGATTCCCCACATGCGTACAATGTGTGAAGCTCACTTCTGGTGTCCCCCGCCGTGATATTGCTGGAATATTGCTAAAAGCGGCGTTAAAACTAAACTCACTCACTACTGTAAACAATGTTAACCATCATCATCGTCGTCATCATCATCATCATCGTCGTCGTCGTCATCATCATCGTCGTCGTCATCATCATCATCATCATCATCATCATCGGGGCTGTTGGGAAGCCGTCCCACGGCCTTAATCCTTACTCAATCATATTGCTCCAATCGAAACATTGGCAATGGCTTTCCACATGAATATTGAATTATATAAATGTTCTTGCTCTACCGTTTGTGGTGTGAGAATATGTAACTCTGAACGCGATTGTTATAGTTTGGATGACTGTGGCGATGTCGCCTAAGTAGGTAGTATATTTCCTGTCAAACCATTAATGTATTTTGTTTGTTTCAGTGTCCCTTGACCATGGCGACCGGTACTATCACCTCTGCCTTATGGACACTGCCGGACAGGTCAGTATATTCCTAACAAACACGTCCCGTTTTGTAATATAAATATGAGAACAAACCTCAGTTTCCTATAATTAGTTTTATTAGGGAGTACCGAGACAGGAAATATTGAAGGTCGGTGTTTCAAGAATATGAATATTTCTAGAGACTATTCGTAGCAAATGTGTCCGGAATCTGTGTTTGAAAACCATAAATGTGTCAAAATAAAATAATCAAGGATGTAAAACACAGTCGGAAGCGCCCCCACACGGATAAATAATCAGCGAACCATCTGGGCACGCATCTTATTAGTGTTACGTCATGCTGCTAAAAGGAAATAAAAAGCTAAAAAGCTATATTAGTGTCCCCAGGCCACGGAGGCACGTTTTGGGATGTGATGATGATAGTTATGGCACGGTGTAGTTATGAACAGGTGAATAGCCGAGGTCAACGAGCCTCGTTCTGATAAAGTGCGTGCTTTTGTCTTAAACACGGTTGGCAGGTAATGCTTGTTTTTATAGTTTGTGACGTAATCGTCAAACCTGTGACATATTCATCTTATTCGCCCTTTGGGAAGGTCTGCATTGTCTCTTTCTTTGTGAAAAATGATAAAAGCTTTTACGACCCTTTAAAAACAAAATATGTATTTTTTCGGTAAACATTCACCGTCCTTTATAATCATAATGTTATATTTCGGGAGAACATTCATTTTTAAACATATAAAATATGGTTGTATATTTTCTATTTCTATATTTCCAGTCCACCGTCTCTAAGAGAAATGTATGTATGTATGTATGTATGTATGTATGTATGTATGTATGTATGTATGTATGTATGTATGTATGTATGTATGTGTGTGTGTGTCTGTCTGTCTGTATGTATGTATGTATATGTATGTATATATGTATGCATGTTTGTATGCATGTCTGTCTGTCTGTATGTGTGTGTATGTATGTATGTCTGTCTGCATGTACATGTATATATGTATGTATGCATGTCTTTATGCATGTGTCTGTCTGTATGTATGCATGTCTGTCTGTCTGTCTGTATGTATGCATGTCTGTCTGTCTGTCTGTCTGTCTGTATGCATGCATGCATGTCTGTCTGTCTGTATGTATGTATGTACATGTATGTATATATGTGTGTATGCAAATGTCTTTATGCATGTCTGCGTGTGTCTGTATGTCTGTCTGTATGTATGTATGTATGTATGTATGTATGTATGTATGTATGTATGTACATAACGTAAGGGAGGTAGGTATCGAAGATAAGTGTTATTCATTGTTAGTTTGTCAGATTAATCACGTTCTCTTCAATATTTCAGGAAACGTATGATCGTCTGCGGACCTTGTCCTACTTCAACACTGACGTGTTTGTCGTCTGCTTCTCCGTGGCAAGTCAAGACTCATTCACTAACGTCAGGACACGATGGATCCCAGAGCTGAAGGAATTCAAACCCGGAACCCGCTTCATCCTTGTCGGAACTCAAGCGGATCTCAGGGACGATGCTCAGTATCCGGGTGAATGCGTATCCCTGAGCCAAGCCAAAAAGCTGGCCAGAAAGGTCGGCGCGGAAGCTTATGTAGAGTGCTCGTCCCTGACAGGGGACGGTTTGAAGAACGTGTTCCAGGGGGCGCTCACAACGGCAGTGTGTCCGAAGAAGAAGAAGAAGTTTTGGAGAAGCTTCAAGCAGCTATTCAAGAAGAACGAGAAGTGAGCGAGAAGATGAAATCTGTGGCACAAAAAAAACATGGCGTCCAGAATGTCAGAACTCTTCGTCCACTTTGCGCAGGCGCATATGGACAGGCAGCTCAACCAGAAGTGACCTCGAGCTTTTGAATGACTGTTTTGCCAAATTTCTTGTTTCACATTGTTGTTGCACATTGTTGTTTCTGTACAAAGTATGTTGAAATGGATAGAAATCTGGTTCAAGAATGTGGGAGTGCTCACCCAAAGCATGACGTGTCTGCATCGAGGAGAGGACGTTGGTGCTTGTTATTGTGTGAGAATGTGCTGTTGTTGACTCATCTGTGTGATAGTCGCTGTTAACAATGACCTCAAAAGTCACGTGACAGAAATAAAAGTGCAGGACACTCCACATCCTTCCGTGACATCAATGACCCACCACGGCTCCCTACAGAGAATAGAAGTACAAAACTCCGAACACTGCCGAGGTCAACTGCCGCTACACACTCGTAAACGCTCCATTCAAACTAACGTGTCACGTCAAGAGAGGAACGATTCAACTAGTTTCAGAATTGGCAGCCCTAAAACATTCTAGCATAGAAAAATACGACTCCTTTAACTCAAAATATTGCCGTTTGAAATAACCTGTTTATTTGTTTGTTAACATTCGTTACATGCTTGAGAAGATGTGATTTAATTTATGCCATCCTTGTTTTCGTTTTGAGGTTGACCAATTGTTTCGTATCTTCATGTTCTTAGTGCTCGTGTTTCACACTGAACCACACCACAAATATTTACAGTGCACACAATGCAGTTAATACATTCCATAAACCTTAAAACATTATTTGACCAAAGTATGACTTTGTTATTGCTCAACATCTAGAGTATTTAGATAATGTTGACTGACTGACTGACTGAGTTTTGTTTTACGCCGCTTTTAGCAATATTCCAGCAACATCACGGCGGGGGACACCAGAAATGGGCTTCACACATTGTGCCCATGTGGGGATAGATAATGTTGACTCTTACCCATTTACATGACCGTTGATTGTGAACATGTAATGGTTTTACGCCGCTTTTAGCAATATTTCAGCTATATCATGGGTGACACTAGAAATGGGCTTTATACCTTTTACCAATGTGGGGAATCGAACCCGGGTCTTCGCAGTGATGAACGAACGCTTCAACCACAAGGCTACCTCACGCTATACATTTAATAAATGACATTGTGTTGACAAACCCTATTTCACGTACACGGTAATTAACGGACAACTGTTAGGGATGTCCCTTTATAAACAAGTTCATGTTTACAAATGTCTTCGCCCATAAATCAGGATTTCCAGACGAAAGACGTACTACTCCAGCGATTGCACGCTTCCCATCACCATACAGAACTCATACAATACATACTAGCATTGTCTTCCCACATATTCCAGAGAGCCAGTGTAATTGATTTCATGCTATGGCCGAAATGTTCCGTTGGTGTTTGCAAGTTGACGTTTCATGTTAAAGTCTCACCATGTAGTGTCTCGTCAGGGTGCCCAATGTCTTTCACAAAAAGCCGTTAATCAGGTATACAGTTACCATGGAAACATGCCACCGTAACATATTCCAGGATCTAAACATCACTTTGAAGTAAACCCGTTGTACAGAAACGTTCTCGAAGACGCCTGGAAGAGGGTCTAGATTAACGATGTGCGGTTTAACGGGGTTTTGTTGTATTGGTTCCAACTGAGTGCTGTAGAAATGTATGTGATGTTGACACGTATGTGTCCTTGTGCTGTAATGAAATGTACAATAAAATGTTATCAATTATCTGTGGTAGAATTAGTCTGCTTTCAGTGGCATTTAGAAGTAGGTGTGTTGAACAACGGGAAAATTCTATGGATGTACAACTTCTTTATTATTAATTTAAACGACGCTTGATAACGATGTTAGCAGCTACGAGGAGAAGTCACTTACAATAATAATAAAGTTGTATAACCATAGTACTTTCCCCGTTGTTAGGAATTAGTCTTCATTCTCGAAATACCCACCATAATGGAAAACCCAGCCCGGGCAAGTTGAGACGCCAACAGCACAGCCTGCGTGTATGGTTATATCAGACAGTCCGAAAACATTCAGTGACGCTCTGTGACGGATATGATATACAGCTCTATATACTGAACACAAATATAGCGGCCTTAAAATTTCCAAGTCACGTTCTGGGATTCTAACCACGGACCTTCTTATCCGAAATTGAAAGCTTTGTCCACATGACCAAAGAGGTTAACCCGCAAAGCATGATGATAAGGTACGGATGTCATCTATGAGATGACTCCACGTCCTATTACACAAACAGAAGTGCTCATGAAGATGTTTGGAGATGTTTGTTTTCATAGCGAAGACTAAGCGCCAATTTTGCCAAGTATACCCTAGAATATACATGTTTCATAACTTATTTTGTTCAGTATATAGTCGTGACTATATATAGTCCGTTTTTGTCTCAAAAGTGGACCGATGAATTGCAATCTAACTCGAAAACTAATAACATATAATACTCAATGAAACGCTGATCATAATCAAAACATCAGACCAGCTCTTTGAGTTTTTGGCAGAATTTATGTCCTAAAAATAAAAAAGTTGTTTAACAAACTATCTATAAAATTTTGGCACAGTTCACTATTTGTTGGGGCGGTGGGGTAGCCTAGTAGATAAAGCCTTCGCTCGTCACGCCGAAGACCAAGATTCGATTCCCCACATGGGTACAATGTGTGAAACCCATTTCTGGTGTCCTCCCGCCGTGATATTGCTTGAATATTGCTAAAAGCGGCGCAAAACGTAACTCACTCACTCACTATTTGTCACGAGGGTGGAGTGCAAAGAGAGGAACAGCCAGGTGTACGCGAAGCACGTGCACAAGTGCCGGCAAAGTTTTTGAGTCATTTGCGTGTGCTGTGCCGTCTCCATCCTTTCTCGCACACCTGGCTGTTCACGATGTGCCGTCTCCATCCTTTCTCGCACACCTGGCTGTGCCGTTTCCATCCTTTCTCGCACACCTGGCTGTTCACGATGTGCCGTCTCCATCCTTTCTCGCACACCTGGCTGTTCACGATGTGCCAAACAACAACAAGCAACAAACTTGTCAACTGATGAATTTGTCCGAGTCCCCGTCAGTGTATCTCCTCACAGATCTCTCAATACCAGGAGAGGAATTAGTACAGATCGGGATAGACTATTTAATGATATATCGAACTGGATATTGTTTCTGAAATGAGGGTGCAAAGTGTTACATTTGTGAAAAGGTTCACCAGGCGTCAAGGTACTGAAACAATCCAAACAAATACGTACCTGTTTTCCTCATCATCTCCCACTGCACCAAAATCAGTCAGAGCAGGATACTGTAAAATAGATGTCGACATATATATCCCTAATCCACTGAGGTAAATTTGGCCATGGTGTAAATTCCTGCAAAAATAATATAACCTGTGCACATTGTAGTGAAACCACTCATGTCACTGAATAACGTACCAGTGATTTCAAAAGGTGTTTGAACTGTTCTCACTTAGAAAAAGCTTATGATACCATCTGGAAATATGGAATTTTAAAGAACCTCCATGAGATAGGATTGAGAGTCCATATGCCTAATTTCCTATCACAGTTTTAAACAAATAGACATTTCCAGGTACGTGTGGGATCCACTTTGTCAGACAAGTTCAGGGTGTTCCACGAAGTAGCATATTATCGGTAACGTTGTTTAGTATAAAAATCAATAGCTTATGGAAAGTTTTAAATGACTCTGTTGACGGGCCTTTGTTTGTGCATGATTTTAATGTGTCATGTCGAGGAAAACATATGCGGACTATTGAGAGACAGTTGCAACTCTGTCTCAATAAGATAGATGCTTGGTCGATGAATTATGGTTTTAAGTTCTCAAAGTTAAAAACGAATTGCATTCATTTCTGCCGGAAATATATACCGCATAGTCACTCCAAGCTATATCTAGCTGCTACTCCAATCAAAGTAGTACAAGAAGCCAAGTTTTGGGTATCATTGTTGACCTTACCTTTAAGCCACACGTTAAATATCTCATAGCAACGTGTCTGAAGGCGATGGATTTATTTAAGTCGTGTCCAAATCCATGTGGGGAGAGGATCAGTCTACCCTCCTTCACTACACAGGTCTCTTCGCTCGAATCTGGATTATGGTTCTATCATATATGGTGGAGCATGTAAGAGTGATTTGGAAATATTAGATCCAATACATCACCAAGGCCTGATACTCTATATAGGAGATTTCAGGACCTCTCCAAGTGACAGTCTGTATGTGGAAGCTGATGACCCCTCTCACAAACCCCGCCGCACCAATATATCTTCAGTATATAACTAAATTACGCTCGAATCCATCACACACTGTTTATGAGTCGGGTTTTACCCACAGTGTGAGGCACTATTTCAGAAAAATACTAAACTAGTTCCTCCACTCGGTATACGGCTCAAACCACACATTTCAGCTGCCAATCTTGACCTTGACATAATTGCGCCATTTCAGCTGTTACCTACTCCTCCTTGGCAGTTAATCAGGCCAAACGTTGACCTAACTGTTACTCAATTTAAAAAATCAGACACAAATCAATTGGTTTATGAACAGGAATATCAGCAATTGAGATTGAAATATGATTCTCATCGTTCTGTATTTACGGAAGGATCCAAAGATGGTGGCACGGTTTCAAGTGCCGCTGTCATTGGATCCCAAACAATATCTTAGGAATACCTGGTAATAGCTCAATTTACACTGCTGAAACTAAGGCTATTCTGACAGCCTTGGAGTATACTGAACAGATAGTAAACAATTTATTATTTTTTCTGATTCATTGTCATGCCTTCTTGATATTACAGAGTTATATAATGATCTTTCCATTGGCCAGTTCGACATCGTCTTTCGCTGGTTACCGAGTGATGTGAGCATAGTTGGCAATACAAAAGCTGATGCTGCAGCTAAAGCGGCTCTAGAACAGCCGTGTTTCCACTCTTGATACCTTACCCTGATTTAGACCTTATGTCAGAGAGCACTAGTATATGAAACAGTAAAATGCAAACAAGGTAGAACGCCCAAGTAGGTATAAATACACTTCATGAAATTAAACAGACCTTAGGATATACCTACTTGGGATGTCAATCCAGACATGATGGAGTTGTAATGAGACGATGTCGAATTGGTCATAGTCGTTTTACCCATGAGTATATGTTGAAGGGAGATCCTCCATTCTGTATCCCTTGTGATGATCACAGTTAAGCACTATTTGCTTCACCGGGTAGTATTTTCTCTCACAAGCGATACTTATTACCAAGTTTCAAACATACAAGATCATTTTAGCAACCTAAATTCTCATTTAATTCTAAGTTTTTTTAAAAGAACTAGGACTGTATACTAGCTTTAGAATGAATGAATTTTAACTATGGTTGATGCAATTGATAACTAATATTATTGTAGCAGTGTTATTTAATGGGGTTGAAGTATTGTAAAAGATTGTCCTCTGATGATAGCATGTTAGACCAAATGGTATTGTTGCACTTTGCAGATAACCAGTATTTTATGCTAACATATTTTGACATGTTTTAATTTATGGCTAGATTTTCCTACAACTGCCAGTGATCAAAGTTATGGCTTAAATTCTGCTGTGGTTCATGCAGGAAGCCAAGGTACTGTAAGTCCCCATGATCTCCAGTAAGATGGTCTGGCTTTGGTGACTGGTTGTATATAGCTCGTATTTTATTGGTATTATATGTAATATTGATCTTTGTATTGAATAAAGTATTGTATCATTTGAAATTGTTAGTTTTTAGACTCAAATTGTGATAACTTGCTAATGTTTTACTGTCCATTACTACATATATTTCTTATAGTTAAACAAAATTGTTTCTCGTCACTGTATAGTCGAACAATTGTCGATATGACGTTAAATTTTAACTCACTCACTCACTCACTCACTCTTGAAGAACTTTGAGACTAAAAACATGAACATCGTATCTCCTCTACTTTACAGGTTGTTCATTTTCCCAAGATTATTCTTTCTATTTCAGAAATAACTTTCTATTTCAGTCTGCTATAAATTCATACCTATATATATGTTGACGTTTATTAATCAGTTTATAGTATACAATATCTTTCCAGCCTCTGATCCCCTGTACTGGCTTCCGACTTAGTCTAGCACTACGGATGTAAATAGAATTTTATTGAAAGCTTTGCTAAATCAAACTTATTCGCAAGTGTAATTATAAAACATCAACACCTTAAAACAACCAGTCTCGATTGTCCCCCAGACAGATTCACAGGGAGTAAAATAAAAATAAACGGTAAAAAATATATAAATAAATACGCGATGCCTCCAGGAGCGTGAAAAATAAACACTGATCAGAATATCCTGCCTGTAAATGTAAACATGACAAATCTATCCATGCTACTAATATTCAATACGTAAGGAAGTTTATCATGTGTTTGTTAGGATTATACTGACCTGCCCGGCAGTGTCCATAAGGCAGAGGTGATAGTAGCGGTCGCCATGGTCAAGGGACACTGAAACAAACAAAATACTTTAGTGGTTTGACAGGAAATATATACCTACTTAGGCGACATCGCCAGAGTCATCCTAAGAATAATAATCACGTTTAGAGTTACATATTCTCACACCACAAACGGTAGAGCAAAACATTTATATAATTCAATATTTATGTGGAAAGCCATTGCCAATGTGTCGATCGGAGCAATATGAGTGAGTAAAGATTTAGGCCGTGGGACGGCTTCCCCACAGCCCCGATGATGATGATGATGATGATGGTCAGAAGTGAGTGCGTGAGTAAAGCTGTAACGCCGCTTTTAGCAAGCAATATTCTATCAACATGACAGCGTGGCACACAAGAAATCGGATTCACACATTTAACCCATCTGGGGAATCGAACTCGGATCTTCGGCGTCACGAGCCAACGCTTTAACCACTAGGCTACCCCACCACCCGGTGAAACAAGGACATTCTCTGTCTAAGAGGAGGTCTTTACGTATTGATAAAATTAGTAAAATGTCAGCAGAAAAAAAGACAGCGAATTTTCGACTTGAATAAGTAGCTGGACTGTCAATTTGCCCAAGCTTACTCCCTTTAAGCTAAGCACCTCGGCAAATTGTTTCTCTGGCAGCTTGATGATCTGTAATGTTGTAAGCGACCTGTTGGAATACAGGTACCAGAACAAACGTTCTGTAACAGAACATAAGAGTTTCTGTGAGGTCAGAGTTTCACAATAGGTGTGAAACGTGAAACGGTAACATGTGTAGCATGTCTAGCTCTGTCCTCGGGGCTGCCACAGACTCTGTCTCAAGGAAACATATTTTTACAGAAACATACTGTTCATATAACATAAACATAACATATAATGAAAAGGAGCCAAGAGCCTTTCTTCATTTTCAGAAACAGACTAGCGTGACCACTGAGCATGTTTGCGAACGTAATATTGACAAAGCCCTCTTGATGGAGAAATATTGACAATGGATATTAAAGTTAAACTGTATCAATGTTATGTTTAGAACTAAACCATATCGCCTAGAAGTTTGGGTTTACCGCCGCCTTGGGCAATTCTGGCATGACGTGTTAGCTTAGGCCCAATGTGAGAGACCGATGTTGTAGCTACTGATATCTAGTATAGTAAAATAGACTAGAGAGTGGTAGGAAGTCCAAAGACCACGGATAACATTTAGGGTGGATCTGAGAAACAACTAGGGCGGACCTGAAAAACAATCTGGATGATAAAGTCGGAATTTCTTATGAAACTGGAAATGATTTTGTTATTTTGTTTGGGTGAATATATCCATTTTATAGGTGACAAGTATACCTTAAAACACAAATTGCATGCAGGTGATGGTTTACGAAACGCCTCCTTTCAAAACGACATGTGTCCAAATAATCCATATGGAGAAAAGTGTGCCACAAAGGTTTCTGTATATAAACCAACCATAGTGGATTGTTTGTAAGCGTGGCTTTAAAATTATATATCTTCTTCGTTTAATCTGCTCTGTATTAAATACGTAAGCTGTAGGTACAATGAATATAGTATTAGCCTAGATAATATAATGGCGGGTAATGGTCCGGTTTTTTTTAATTGCAGTCTAAGAGAAATAAAGCATGTATTCTACAAAGGACGTATTGTGTGCTCTAAGCGTGACGCTAATAGTTGACTCGGTGCTGTGAATAAAGTCTTCTCGTCAAGAACGCAGGGAGACATTGAACAGTATTTTACAGACTGGTATTTGATACAAAAATCCCCAAACTCTACAAGATCGCTGTTACCCCTATTCCCGTTGTGTGAACTGACAGGCAGACATGTCACAAACTGACGGCCAAAAGACGAAGGAACCTAAATTCTTCGAGTTATCCGATGTTCGAGACAACCGCAAAAAGTGACAAAGGAAGGAATACACAGACTCTTCGCAGCTTTTACTTCGACACAACCGTTCCTTCGACAATAGGGCGTTTGACTGCAGCCAACACTAACTGATGGTAGTTAAATTGAAGCAAGCAATAAATGGTTCTCATCTGATAAGGGGCCGTGGTGTAGCCTAGTGGTTAAAGCGTTCACTCGTCCCGGGTTCGATTCCCCGCGTGGGTACAATGTGTGTACATGTTTCTGATGACTTTATCTTTCACCCAACAAATTATTGCAATTGTCTAATATTCTCTTTTAAGAGAATACCGACACAAAGATCTTTGAAATATGGAAGAACAAATGACTTTTGTCACAGAAACTTTGGGAACAAATCCTGTTGACAATCAGAGAAAATAAGAAAAAAGCCAACATTTTAACATCCTGGTTCAGAAGCAGAACTAATATCGAAGTTGAAAAACAAATTAACCACCAGTTTGTAAATAAGAGGAGAGTCGACTTTGTGTTTCTGTATGTGAATATATTACCATGCTGAGATTCAAACCCAGATCTTTTGTGTGATCATCGGAATCTTTCTCAATAGCTGACCTCAAGAGCCTATTTTGACGATTCTTACAAGATCCGATAGTTTTGTACAATTGTATGGAGTTGGGCTAAGAGCTCTTGCTCACCGAACACCACTTCAGAAGAGACGAATCAAGACGGTATTTCCTCTCTGTTGCACCCAAACAATCAGAGAGCGTGTCAGGTATGCGTCGCTTTAGTCTGTCCCCGCAACTTACGTCACAACAAAGTAGGTCAAGACGAAACATGTGGGTCACGAAGATGCCCGAGGTGAAGGATGGTCGGTAGTCTGGACAATCAGATCCTCATTATAGGATATCCTTATCTCGGATGTCTGTCCGAACGAATGAATCAGATCGTTTATCTGTAAATTCTGGGTCAGTGTGTAAATTGTTTGTCAAACAGGTCAGTTCACACTAAGAGAATGTCACATACTATTATATCCACTCGTTGGGGTGAGTTAAACTACCTTTCATTTTCACCCGTAAAGATCCGGGTTAGAATTGGTCTTCAGTAACCCATGCTTGTCGTATTATAAGAGCCGACTAACGAAATCGGGTGGTCAGACTCGCTGCCTTGGCTGACACATGTCATTGTATCCCAATTGGGTAGAGATCGATGTTCATGTTGTTGATCACTGGATTGTCTGGTCCAGACTCGATTATTAACGGACCGCCGCCATATAGCTGGAATATTGCTGAGTGCGGTGTTAAACTACGAGAATATATGTGTTGTTTTCTTTAATCAGATTGTTTTTAAATAAACTGAAACACTTTTGCATAGTTTTGTTCTTCTCAACTGGAACATCACATAAAGTATTGTTGAACAAAGGAATAGTTCTGGATATGGGTATATCACTTGCTTAATAACGGCGTTAGCATTTACACCGAAACGAAGCATATATTGTAAGAAAGAAGTTGTATATCCATAGAACTATTTCTCTTGTTCATCAGACCAACTTCTAAATGCCACTAAAAGAGATTAAAGTATTGTTAGTGGACAGCTTGGTATATCATCACACGATTCCAGAAGAAAATACTATTCCGTGTAATACTTATCACACTGTGTCACAGATTGTTAGAACGACCTTCCGATTTCAATTGTAAATTTGGAACAATACTATAAGTAATTATCTTAGTTGTTTCGAAACGCCCATGTTTATTTCCTTGTCTCGGGGTCAACAAAATACCACAGGCATACTTCAAACAATCCCATTCAAAATCTTATAGTATACAGTATGCGTAATCTACAGCCTATTAGATTCATAGTGGGCAGAGGTGAGCTACGTACCTGCCTATGTAACTAGTACCGTGATTGAAATGCGAGTACGCTGTAATTTGTCATCAATAGACAGACGCCCTTCCCAGAGTCTCCCAAACTGACCACGCCAGTGTCCAGACTGGCCTCACTTTGGTTTTTGATGTACGTGATAGTTGGTTGTATGATTGATGCAGCGCTGAATGTTGTGACATTAACAACTGTTTAAAGACTGACTTGGAAACAAAATCTGCTTTGATGACATTAGTCACAGCACGCCTTGTCCCAAAGGGACAAAGCTTTTCACAAACTAAAGCATCAAAATAAATTTAAAACAATCAGAAACACAAGAAAGGAGTTAAAAGTTCAATGACCTTTTTCTTAAAAATATTTTCTAAACATTAACTGTGAATTTTTTTTCTACACGATATTCCTGCAAATATTTATTTTTAAACTTAAGGGTGAGTTCAGTTGCTTTTTTTACTATTTTTAATCTCACTTCGTGATTTAGAAATTACATTAGTATGTTTCTTTAGAGGCTGTTTGAGGTGGGTTACATATCCTTTTCCAACATATAGTAAAAGAAATGTGTTTTATCAACCACTTCGTCGGGAATGTCATATTGACATTGTGCATGGCCAGTACCTCTATGTTGTACCTTGTACCACATCTGTACCATTCCAACTCACTCTGGTGTCGTTAGGCAAGTCTGCTCAGTTGTCAAACTGTTGACCTCAATCAGACATGAGTCGATTTTTAATTTTCGAGTAAACATGTCAGCCATCATAGCTCATTGAAACATCACTATTTATACAATAATCGAGTCTGAACATGAACCTGCGACATGTGTACATCTCATGTATAAGTTTTATACGTTGTTAAAATGTATAAAAAAACAACCATGTGTCACCTTTTTCTTTTTTAATTGTTAATTATTTTAGAAAGTTTCATTTAGTGCGACTATATTTTATATAATGTCATCTTGTCGACACGGACATGGAATCAGACAAGGTCATGGTATGAGGCAAGGTAATAGTTTACATCCTTCATTATTCTCATCCGTTATTACACTCGTCTCGAGGTCCTGCATGACACGTACATCTGTACTGTATACATAATCCTCACTGTAAAGTTTATACTTGGGATAGGTATGATACGTGCCTCTGCAACACAACACTGGTAATAATACCTCCATTGTGTCTGGCATATAGGATCATTTACAGGCTGCATATTTCAAAGCTGTATATATTTCAAGGCGTGCCGCATACTGTACATTGCTGCTGGAAGGTGTATGACAGGGAACGTTGCAATAGAATGATGACACTACTAAATACAGTAGTTACGTTTTCAATAGACTAACAGCTAGTCTCTGAAATGAACATGTTTTAAGGAAAATAAAAGTTTTAAAACTTAAGTTATAAATACATTCTGTCTCCATATTATCGCTTTCTTCCTATTCGGGGGCGGTGGGATAGCCTAATGGTAAAGCGTTCGCTCGTCACGCCGAAGGCCCGGTTTCGATTCCCTACATGGGTACAAAGTGTGAAGCTCATTACGGGTGACCCCCGCCGTGATATTGCTGGAATTTTGCTAAAGGCGGGCGTAAAGTCATATTCACTCACTCTTCCTATTCGTTTTCTTCTAATCTCTACAAATTCCACTGAGAGAATAATGCTCGACATTTTTTTTATTCATGTATATTAATCACATGAGCATCATCTTTCCATACGTCTTTTATTTAGTGCAGCCTTTATTTACCATTTCTAAATATAAAATAAAATTACATTTTTAATCCAAGCGTTTCGAGAATATAAAGAGCATTTGTCTTCACTTGTTACACCGTGTGCATTATCGGTCATGCTCGACCGACAACCAGACATGCACAGTCGCTGCCGGAAGTTCACTAGACTATGAAATGTACACCAAACACAAAAACTGACAAGAGACCGTGTCTATTTCTATTTGTCGGGAGTCTCGTGCACGGCGGGCGACGAGACAACAGCAGGCAGGTGCGGCTTGTGAAAACAAATTTGTCGGTCGGTGTTAAACGAAGCGTCTGTAAAATACGTCTCACTCTATTCGTTACTTCTGCCCATATTGTCCGTACAGCTTCTGTATCGCAGGTCTTAAAAAGGTCACATGCAACGTAAAACACAACTTTGCAGATTCTGATACCTTTCGGTATGGACTTACCGAAACAAAGCGTCAAAAATGCAAATTCAACTTATAAAGTTGAAAAATAACGCGATGAAAAAAAACGCGCGAAATCGGAGTTCAAACGTTTCACTAATTTTCCCCAGACTTTTCTGGGGAATACGGGTTTCAACAGCTGGCTGCGCTCATAGCACGTGCGCAGTGAAATAGGTTCGCGCAACTTGGAAGCGGGCTGTCTGGTGAATACTCGGTGAAGGCTTTGGTGTGAGCTATTTTCATAATGTTTTGTTGATATCTCACAGGCGCGAGCTTTTTATATGTTATGACAGTAAATAAACTGTTTATATAATTTCATTTGTCTTTTTCACCACACGTTCTTCTTACCGAGTCACTTTCTCAGTTCGATACTTAAAAGCAATGTCATTATTTAGAGTTGACACAATTTCTAACTGTGATATAGATATGTCGCTGTCACAGACAAAACTCAATGTCTTGTTATATTGACACCTGTGTGTCTGCCTGCCTGTCTGCTAATGACAATATTCAATACACAACTGCGATCACTGACCACATGTAATTTGAACTTAACACCATTCAGGCTATACACCATAAACAAAACGCATTGATTTATGGCCCGAGTTCGGTCTCTGTCACATTATGTAATTACACAGACAGGCAGGTGTGATACTTGAACACATGACTTGTTATGATGTCTGTTGATTGCAAAATGTTATACACAAAAAAATGAGCATGTATTTACAAAACCCAAAATCTCTCTCTATATATACACACAATTAGCCGTGAAGGCGGCATCTGCTAATGAACCAGCCGTTACACTTGAGTGCACACCCACCCGCTCTGACTGGGTTCGGTATCCCGGCTGCTTCGTTTCGAGGGAGGTAAGCCCAAGTACAAAATATTGCACTTTTGATTTGCGATTATACGCTTATAATTTTGTTTATTTGTTTTTTCATAATCAGCAATGCATATTATATGTCATGAAGAAGTGATAATTGTGTTTTAATTATGTTTGATTTTTTTGGTTGCATGTGACCTCTTTAAGTATGCCTATTATTCCCCCTTCCGCCCACAAATGTAATGCTATATCTCTCAAAGAAACATGTCTACAATGTCCACATTCTAAACCTTTCACTGGCCCCTCTTTCGACTTTAAATTTCGTGCCTTTTTTTTTAAAAGGGTTGGTCGGGTAGCCCAGTGGTTAAAGCGTTCTCTAGTCACGCCGAAGAAACGGGTTCGATTCCCCACATGTCACTCACTCACTCTAAAATGTTGTTTCGATAAGTGTGTATGTAAGTATGAAGTGTATATTTATAGAGAAGTATAACTTTATAGGAAATGTCTACAAGCGTGTTAATTGGAGGTGTATCATTCTCGCTTTAGAATGCTCTAACCCGACGCTATGGAGTGCCCCACCCTTGAGCTAGAGTAAATGAACAGAGGCCGAGTATGGCTGTTCTGGAGATAGGTGCTTGACACAGCTTGCTATTACTAATAACAATGAATACTAACAAGAGAGGAAGATACCTCCTGTATCGTATGTTATTATCTGGGTAGCTATCGTAGGAGGAAGGGCGGTGGGATAGATTAGTGGTTAAGGCGTTCGCTCGTCACGCTGAAGACCCGGGTTCGATTCCCCACATGGGCACAATATGTGAAGCTCATTTCTGGTGTCCGCTGCCGTGATATTGCTGGAATATTGCCACAAGAGGCGTAAAACCAAACTCACTCACTCACTCTTAGAAGGACGGTGTGGTAGCCTACTGGTTAAAGAATTCGCTGATCCGGGCTGAACTGCCCACCTAGGGTACTTTGTCTCCTGGTTGATAACGATTTATGTAATATTTATCGAAGACATGGCTTGTAAATGGTTCTGCAGACAACAGTGTAACAGTACATACCACGGGGTACAATTCCATAGTAACACCGTCTTATGATCGTGTTTTGGCGTTGATCTGAAAACCTCCCATCATTTGTGAAACTGACTGACTGACTGACTGACTGAGTTTGGTTTTACGCCGCTTTTAGCAATATTCCAGCAACATCAGGAACACCAGAAATGGGCTTCACACATTGTACCCATGTGGGGATTCGAACCCGGGTCTTCGGCGTGACGAGCCAACGCTTTAACCACTAGGCTACCCAACCGCCACTTGTGAAACTGAGAACTAATGAAATGGTTGTGTATAGAGCCGGGGACACAAATCGGTCGAAGTTAAGTAATGTAGGACGCGGAGAGTCTTTGGATGGGTGACCGTGTTTGGCAGCTTGAGTCCTTGGAGTTTCTAAGTCTTCTGTCCTGCCCAGGACAACACATGACACTGTGGTCTCACCTTAGGCAAGTGAGTTTGTTCATGAATTGCCTCTGTTCACCCAGCAGTTAATGGGTACCCGGAGGGATAAGTCATTTGACTGTTAACCTTCTAGCGCCTCACAGGCAGTTTGGGTTATCCGGGGTAACAAGTGCATATAAACTGGCGCTTTGTAAATGGCCATTA